CATAAATCACAGCAGGATCCTCTATGACCCACATCCCAGAATTTTAGAAATAAAAGCAAAAATAAACAAATGGGACCTAATGAAACTTAAAAGCTTTTGCACAACAAAGGAAACTATAAGCAAGGTGAAAAGACAGCCCTCAGATTGGGAGAAAATAATAGCAAACGAAGCAACAGACAAAGGATTAATCTCAAAAATATACAAGCAACTCCTCCAGCTCAACTCCAGAAAAATAAATGACCCAATCAAAAAATGGGCCAAAGAACTAAACAGACATTTCTCCAAGGAAGACATACAGATGGCTAACAAACACATGAAAAGATGCTCAACATCACTCATTATCAGAGAAATGCAAATCAAAACCACAATGAGGTACCATTACACGCCAGTCAGGATGGCTGCTATCCAAAAGTCTACAAGCAATAAATGCTGGAGAGGGTGTGGAGAAAAGGGAACCCTCTTACACTGTTGGTGGGAATGCAAACTAGTACAGCCACTATGGAGAACAGTGTGGATATTCCTTAAAAAACTGGAAATAGAACTGCCACATGACCCAGCAATCCCACTGCTGGGCATACACACCAAGGAAACCAGAATTGAAAAAGACACGTGTACTCCAATGTTCATCACAACACTGTTTATAATAGCCAGGACATGGAAGCAACCTAGATGTCCATCAGCAGATGAATGGATAAGAAAGCTGTAGTACATATACACAATGGAATATTACTCAACCATTAAAAAGAATACATTTGAATCAGTTCTAATGAGGTGGACGAAACTGGAGCCTATTATACAGAGTGAAGTAAGCCAGAAAGGAAAACACCAATAAAGTACACTAACACATATATATGAAATTTAGAAAGATGGTAACAATAACCCTATATGCAAGACAGCAAAAGAGACACAGATGTACAGAATAGTTTTTTGGATTCTGTGGGAGAGGGCAAGGATGGGATGATTTGAGAGAATGGCATTGAAACATGTATATTATCATATGTGAAATGAATCACCAGTCCAGGTTTGACGCATGAGACAGGGTGCTCGGGGCTGGTGCACTGGGATGACCCAAAGGGATGGGATGGGGAGGGAGGTGAGAGGGGAGTTCAGGATGGGGAATACATGTACACCCATGGTGGATTCATGTCAATGTATGGCAAAACCACTACAATATTGTAAAGTAATTAGCCTCCATTATAATAAATAAATTTATTTGAAAAAAGATTTAAAGCTAAAAATATAAAAAATAAAAAGTGCTCCAATAACTTAAACCTTCTAATGAGATGTACTGTTTTTTCAAAATTATTGAGGTTTTACTGTACTTGAAAATTCATAAGTTAATCATAACCTCATGATTTGCAACATTCTTTAGTTCTAATCTCAAAATTTATAATAACTTTATAACTTTTAAATCATGTGAAATATGAATTCCAAGCTATAAAAAATGTTTAAATTAAACTCATTTTCAATTGTATTGGTTTCACTGTTGTATTAAAGCAAGAGATGCTAGGATTGCATATTTAAGATTAAAAAGAATTATTAAAGTGAAAATAGTTTCTGGAAAGAGGTGTGCAATGAAATATAAAGCAATGTCAATTTGGTGACTAAAGCATATGAAAATTAATTCTGTTTGCTTGTCAAGTTACAACACTGTATTCTGACTAATCCTGTCAATTTCTACTTCATATATCAGATCAGTTCATTTCAGTTCACTCACTCAGTCATGTCTGACTCTTGATGACTCCAGGAACCGCAACACGCCAGGCCTCCCTGTCCATCACCAACTACCAGAGTCCACCCAAACTCATGTCCATTGAGTCGGTGATGCCATCCAACCATCTCATCTTCTGTTGTCCCCTTTTCCTCCTGCCCTCAATCTTTCCCAGCATCAGGGTTTTTTCAAATGACTGAGCTCTTCACATCAGGTGGCCAAAGTANGGTCAAAGTATTGGAGTTTCAACTTCAACATCAGTCCTTCCAATGAATATTCAGGACTGATCTCCTTTAGGATGGACTGGTTGGAACTCCTTGCAGTCCAAGGGACTCTCAAGAGTCTTCTCCAACACCACAGTTCAAAAGCATCAATTATTTGACGCTCAGCTTTCTTTATAGTCCAACTCTCACATCCATACATGACTACTGGAAAAGCCATAGCCTTGACTAGACAGACTTTTGTTGGCAAAGTAATGTCTCTGCTTTTTAATATGTTATCTAGATTGGTCAAAACTTTTCTTCCAAGGAGCAAGTGTCTTAATTTCATGGCTGCAATCATCATCTGCAGTGATTTTGAAGCCCCCAAAAATAAAGTCTGTCACTGTTTCCACTGTTTCCCTATCTATTTGCCATGAAGTAATGGGACCAGATGCCATGATCGTAGTTCCCAAATCTATTGAGATTCAATGAAATCCCAATCAAAATCCCAACAAGTTATTTTGTGGATATCGACAAAATGATTCTAAAGTTTATATAGGGAAGAAAAAGACCCAGAATAGCCAACACAATATTGAGGAAGAACAAAGTTCGAAGCTGATACTACCAACTTGAACTCACTACAAAGCTACAGCAATCAAAGTAGTGTGGTATTGGTGAAAGAATAGACAAATACATCAATGGAACAGAACAGAGGACCCAGAAACAGACCCATATAAATAAAATCAACTTATCCTTGACAAAGTTGAAAAGACCATCTTTTCAACAAACAGTGCTGGAACAACCAGATGTGCACATGCAGAAAAAAGAAATCAATGTCACAAATCTTACAGCTTTCACAAAAATTAACTCAAAATGAATCACAGACCTAAATTTAAACACAAAACTATAAAACTCCTAGAAGATAGCATATGAAAAAATCTAGAAGTCCTTGGGTTTGGTGACAACTTTTTAGATATAACACCGAAGGCACAATCCATGAAAGAAATAATTAATAAACTGTACTTCATTAAAATTAATTAGCTTTTGCTCTATGAAATATGAGGTCTAGAGAATTAGACATTAAACCACAGACATGGAGAAAATATTTGCAAAAGATATGACTGATAAAGAACTGATATCCAAAATATACACAGGACTCTTTAAATTCAACCATAAGAAAATAAAAAACTCAATTAAAAACTAGGCCAAACACCTTAATAAATGTCTCACCAAAGAAGATATTCAAATGACAAAAAAGCACATGAAAAAATGCTCATGTCATATTTCATCAGGAAAATGTAAATTAAAACAGAGCTATCACTAAATACCTATTAGACTAGCCAAAATCCAGAACACTAACAATAGCAAATGTTGGCAAGTTGTGAAAAAGCAGGAACTCTCAAGCACTGCTGGTGTGAATGTAAAGTAGTTCAGCCACTTTGGAAGACAGTTTGGCACTTTTTAAAAAAAATATAAAACTAAATATACCCTTACCACACACACTGGTTCCTTGGTATTTACTCAAAGGAATTGAAAGCTTCCTTCCACACAAAAGCCTGTGCACAGATGTTTATAACAGCTTTATTCATAAGAGCCCATCCTTGGAGTCAACCAAGATGTCTTTCAGTAGGTGAATGTGTAAATAACCTGTGGTCCATCCAGACAATACAATATTATTTATCACTAAAAAGAAATGAGCAATCAAGACACAAGAAGGCATGAAGGAATATTACTCCATGAAACAGCCTGAGAGGCCAGTCTGAAAAGGCTACATACTGTTTGACTCCACCGGACTTAAAGAAGGGAATGACATTCTGCAAAAGACCAAACTTGGTGACAGTAAGATCTGGTGATTTTCAAACGTTAAGAGGGAAGGAGGGATGAACAGGGAAGCACTGTGAGATGATGTGTGGCACAGCTGGGACTAAAAACTGGGTTGACTTCCAGAGCAGTTCAACTTTCTAATACGGTTCTGCATCAATAAACCACAGGACCTGCCAGGCCTGAAATCTCATTGCCACCTGTGCCTCCAGTTAGTGACCAGACACCCTGAATTAATAAAAGGGGTTTTTGTTTGTTTGTTTGTTTTTAGGACATACCCAGGAAATTACCCACCCTCCGTCTAAGGNGCGCGGTCCGAGCCGCAGGTGCGCGAAAGGCTGCGGCCGGACGGTCCGCGCTGGCCCGAGGTTCCCAGGAAGCTGGGGCGCTGCGATGCTGGTCCCCACGGGGCCAGGGACGCGGAGCACGGCGCTGGGCCTGGGGCAGGTGCCCGGGGGTGGGGCGCGTTGCCCTGCGGGTGTGTGTGTGTGTGTGTGTGTGTGTGTGTTGGGGGGATGGGGTGCGGGGGTGCGACGATTCGTGGCTGTGTGTGTGTTTTGGGGGGATGGGGTGACGGGGGTGACGATTTGTGGCTCAGTGCCCACAGCTTCCCTCCCACCGCAACTCCGTCGGCCTCCCGGGAGAGCTTTGCTCATTNTGTGTGTGTGTTGGGGGGATGGGGTGACGGGGGTGACGATTTGTGGCTCAGTGCCCACAGCTTCCCTCCCACCGCAACTCCGTCGGCCTCCCGGGAGAGCTTTGCTCATTTTTCTTTTCAGTAAGATCACCCCCGCCCCCCACAGCCTTTTGAACACTCGTTTCGCTCCTCCGCAGTAGGAATCCTGTAAGTCTCTCTCTGGTTGGCCTTTTTAAAGACAAAAAAAGTTCGTCTCCAGAAGAGTGCCACGAAAGCTGGTCCTTTAGAGTCTTTAAAGAATTTAAGAACTCGTGAGATCTTAAGGAATTTCCCTGGAACTCAGTTTCCTTGTGCGTAATAAGACGCCCGACGGGGCCTTTTAGATTTTACAGTTCTGTTAATCCTCGTTAACCTGTTCCCAACCCCACCATTTTCTCCACCTCACTCGTCCAGTGCCCCGCTTTTACCCTGGGTTCCGTACGGCGCGAACCTCCAGTCATCCCGTCCCTAGAGATGAGATTTCCTCCGCAAGTCATAGATTCTGCGCCAGGGCAGGTGGAACAGTAATTGACGGGACAGAATTTTCCGTCGTTTTCCCGGTGTTAATTACCTAGCATGAAACTCTGCACTTTGACGTTTGCGTTTGAGTCGATAACAAATGTTGCTGATACACCCTTTCGATTGTTTTTACAGTACTTGACCCAGAACTCATTTTCAGGAAAAAGAGCTTCCTTCAAAATGGTAAAATAATCAAATGAGGAATTTGAACATTTTATCTTTGGATGGAAATCTGAGAATGAAGAGTGATTAATCCAAGCCATGTGGTAAAATTAGGAATTTGAAGAGAATGGAAACATTTATATTTTTGTGGACATGTATTTTTCTACCCCTGGTAAGAGGGCACAGTCTTTTCACCTGTGAACCAATTACTGTTCCCAGATGTATGAAAATGGCCTACAACATGACGTTTTTCCCTAATTTGATGGGTCATTATGATCAGAATATTGCTGCTGTGGAAATGGAGGTAAGTAGTTCTTCATATCTTTATGGAAGAATTGTTTGTGCTCTGTTCTGGAATAAGCTATAAATGCAACCTTTTTTTTTTTTTTAAAAGATAACAGTAAGGGATTTCTTCAAGTTGTAAATAAGTCCTACTTTGAATAAATGCCTTTGAAAATTAAATCTCCCTATTGACTTAAATTTGTGTACATTTGTGGCTTTGTTTAGTGGATTTGAATAAGATAGGGTTCATTCTCTATGAATTGTAGTTATGAATGATTTTGAAATATCGTGCACCTGGCAGATATTTTGCTCTCCTGAGTCAATTTGGTAGTTCCTCATGGTAAAAAATGTGAATTCTGAACTTTTATTAATTCATTGAACATATAATCTTCTATTGCCTGGACCAAAGTGCTTGGACTACATGTATTTTCATGAGTAGTTGTTATGTTCACTTGGGCCTGTTTGTCTGAAGCAAATCAGTGACTAGAAGATTTTGGGGATTTGGGGGCTGTAGATAGTGTTTTGCTAAGAAGTGACTTTTTAAAGTATAGTGCCTAAGTAGTCTTTGTAAAAAGAAAGAAAAGAAAGTGAAGTCACTCAGTCATGTCCGACTCTTTGTGACCCCATGGACTGTAGCCCACCAGGCTCCTCCCTCCATCCATGGAATTTCCTAGGCAAGAGTACTGGATGGGTTGCCATTTCCTTCTCCAGGAGATCTTCCTGACCTTAAAAGAAACCACACATCAGGGGAGGAGCAGAGTGACAGTAAAGATTGCCGCAGGTGCCTCAGTTGCCTGCCTCTGGTTTGCAGATATGCAGATGGCTTAGGGAGGTGTGGGAAGAAAGAGTTACCTGTAGAGACAGGAACCTGTCCTCTCCTACAGATCTGTTAGGATGATAAATCTTGTGAAGGAAAGAAGACAAATGTTTTTGTAGATTTTCTCCAGAAAGGCTGAGAAAGGTTAAGGCTTATTTCCCTCAGATTGTTTCTAAGAGTTGAAACCCTGGCAATTTTAATATAGACACAGCTTTAAAAACTGACTAGCCTTGATTTTGCAGTCTTCCCCCTGTTGTTTAATTGAATAGTTGTCCAGCTACCTCATTGTAGACTCTTGTCTGAAATAGGAGGGCTTTTGATTACTGAGTAGAAATACTTTTAAAAGATATGGCAAATTATCAATGTATTACCATAATCTTTCAGTAGATTTCCAAAGCAGTGCAAAATTGTCACTTTGAGCACTGAACAGATGATGTGGTGAGATTTCCATTGGCTAATCAGAACCATTTTGATCGTTTAATCTGATTAAATCATGTAGTGTGAGTAACTTCAAGAAATAACTATAACATTCATTTGCATTTTCTCTGTGTTTTATAACATTTCTTATAGCTTTCTTAAAAAATTTTTTTATCTGGTTTCCTTTTTGTGTAATAGCTATATACATTTGAAGTTAGAATTCTGACATTGACCTTAAAATTCAGATTCTTTAGAGTTCTTTATCATAGAGAAGTACCATTATGAATATATAGAGAGAGGCCTCCCTGCTATTAGATACTGAAGTTTTAAGATGATAAGAATGAGTTTTTGTTTTATGCATGTCTTTTTAAAGCCAATTGTTTCTGACCCCTGAAAGAGTTATTTTTTTTATTTACCTAGCTTCTTTCCCAGGTAGTTTTGTGTCTGGACATACCCAAGAAATGTCCTCCTTTACTTGATTGCTGACACTACTAATTTCTTCATTATATAATCTTTTTCATGCACTAAACTTTCTCCTACCGCTTACTATTGAGTTTTATTCCATAAGTCACTTTTCAGTTGCTTTAAGGATGTAAAAGAAAGATATCAAGCAGTCATTTAATATCAGCATTAACCTAAGTCTACAAAGGAAGAAAGGGAAATGGAAAGGCAAAATAATATCAACTTAAGTCAACCTTTGTTGTTCTTATTCAGTCGCTAAGTCTTGTCCGACTCTGCAACCCCATAGACTGCAACATGCCAGACTTCCCTGTACTCTGCTATCTCCTGGAGCTTGCTCAGACTCTTGTCCATTGAGTCAGTGATGCCATCCAATCACTTCATCCTCTATCATCCCCTTCTCCTCCCGCCTTCAATATTTCCAGCATCAGAGTCTTTTCCAGTGAGTCGGCTCTTCACATCAGGCAGCCAAAGTGTTGGAGCCAAAGTGTTCAGCTCTAGCTTCACTGGAGGAGGGAATGGCAACCACTCCAGTATTCTTGCCTGGAGAATCCCCATAGACGGAGGAGCCTAGTGGGCTACATCGCCACCATAGGGTCACAAAGAGTTGGACACAACTGAAGCAACTTAGCATGCATGCAAATGACTTAAATATCATGCAGAGTTTCTTAGCCTCTGTTGTGCCATTGATGCATTCTCAGAATTTTAAATGAAATGAGTAGGATTACAAAGGAAACCAATTGTATTGAAATATACTTCTGTTTATAGCCCAGGTTAGGAAGCTTTGAACCTGTCATATAGGTGAAAAACTGAAGCCCCAAGAAGTTGTGTTGCTTGTGATTTGAGCACTATGAAGCTAGAAGTTGTGATTTGAACACTATGGTCTGATGCAGTCTTCTCTGTCACCATGGACCATAGTGTCATCTTTTAACTATTTTATGTTTTTTTTTTTTACCCTTCTCTTTCTTAGATAACAACAACAAAATACTTCCTAAGATTAGAATGTCATGTGTTAATTTCAGTCTTTGCTGCTTCTTTATAAACTTCAATAAAAATTAAGCTGGGAGATTTTTTTTAACCTCTAATCAGTTTTACCTTTCTCTTTCTCATCCATGCCTTGGATACAAAGTCTTGTCAGAAGTTTTAGATTGAAAATAAAATCTTTTGGCTTCAGTCTGTCCCCTCTGGTGGTGCCAAAGTGATTTTATTGATATGCAAATATGTGCAGTCCTCTCTGGGGTTAAAATTCTTTATTTCCCTAAAGCCGGAAAAATACAGACCTGACCAGCATGGCACCCAGCGTTCTTTGTATGTGACCCTGCCTTCCTGTCCAGCTTCCCATCTCGCTGCTTTCCACATTATATACTCTGCTTCAGCCAAACTGACCTGTTTGTAGAACTCAGATTCATATTATTCCCTCTCACTTCCATACCTTTGCATATATTGTATCCACTGCCTCAATACCTACCCTTCTTCATCAGCTCAGTCTTTTCAGGTCTCAATTAAAGTAACTCTATGTCTAGTGAAGCCTTCCTTTCACTTTCCTCCCAAGCATATTTAATCAGCTCACTGTACACTCTGATAGTACATAATATCTGCAAGTGTCCTTGTGGTTACCATGCCACAGGACGCTGACTTACATAGCTCTTTCATGAGTTTGTGAACTCATTGAGAGGAGGGATGTTTATTCTTTTCTGTTGCCTACTACAATGCCTCTGAGCCTGGTAGATGTTCAATAAAGGCTGACTAAAGGAAAAGGAGATGTTTCCTATTCTAATAAATCAGCAAAGAGAATTTTCCCTCCAAATCTTTCCCTTCCTCTGTATCTTTTGCAGAGTCTAAGTGAAAGGCACTAATATCTTTCGTGGTTTACATATCATCCACCTTTGATCTTCCTGAGCTAGTTCTAATAAAATAACATCAGTTGTATCATCTGTGTTCATTCACATACTAGCTTGACATGTATTTGTTTTTAATTTAAAGGATTGATTTTTAACTTACCCTTTAACTAATTTAAAATTTATATTTATTTATATGATGTGTAAGAATTAATCTTTTGATTGGACCTTTGTATTATAAACTATATGTGTCAGATTTCTTTTCAAATGTTGTCTTTGAGTATTTATAGTCCAGTCAAGTATTAAATTATAACTGAATATAAAGGGGCTTTTATTTTTAAAAAGTGTTTTATAACTTCTCTGAAGAACTGATGGGGTTTTACACCTCCAGCCCAATTGCTTTGCGTTCCTGCTGTCCCTGTTGAATTTCCAGGGTTCACTGTGAGTTAATGTTAGGATGCTCCCTGGTGTAATGTTAGGGCCTTCCCTGGTGGCTCCGACGGTAGACTCTGCCTGCAATGCAGGAGACCCAGGTTCAATCCCTGGGTCAGAAAGATCCCCTAGAGAAGGGAATGGCAACCCACTACAGCGTTCTTGCCTTGAGAATTCCATGGACAGAGGAGCCTGGCAAGCTACAGTTCATGGGGTGGCAAAGAGTCAGACACGACTGACCAACCAACACTGTCACTATCACTAATGTTAGGATGAGGGAGTGAAGAATTATCTGTTGACTGTGGCAACCAGTTGTGCCTTCTTAGCTATCATGAATTTCATATAAGTCAGGAGATCTATTTCCTTCCTCTTTTATGCCTTAGTTTCCATTATATGTGATGACTGTCCTGTTTTATGGAATTTGTGGTCATTGCTGATCTGTGATTATATGAGATGGTTTACGGAAAAGTGGTTTGTCAAAGTTTAGTTCATAGACCAGCAGCTTGTGAGCTTGTTAAAAGTGAAAGTTCATGGACCCCATTCCAACCTACTGAACCATGTAAAGTAGAGCGCAGGAAATTGATAACAAGCTGTTCAGGTGTTTCTTGGAAGCATTAAATTTTGAGACCCACTGGTTTAGAACAGGGAATGCAAACTTTTTCTGTAAAGGGCTAAATAGTACTTTTGACTTTGCAAAGCATTTGGTCTCTGGCACAGCTATTCAACTCTTCAGTTGTAGCAAATAACAAATGACTGTGGATGTGTTTCAATACAGTGCATCATTTTTGGCCCACAGGTTATAATTTGCTGAACCCTGGTTTAAAGTACTTGAAAATCTTCTTAAGGGTTACATACATACAGCATGTAATAAATAATCATTTTTGTGCACACTTATTAATGTGTTACTATATGTGTTATATGTTATTTGCTTTCCAGATAAATTTTTTAAAGTCAAATTTATCACAAACCAAAGGATCTGACCAAGATATCCTGGTCCTTTAGTTTTGTTTCAGAGATTACCTGAAATGAAGGACTTTGATTTTTTTTCCTTATTTTATT